TAATTAACTTTGTAATTAATTAATTTTGTAACAGCTTGCATTTAGATTTGTTGTATATCCTCATTAGTTTAAATTTTATAGATCAACAAACTTCTGATGTGCCATAAAGAAGGCCAAGCTGACAAATAACATGCTATGATTAATAATTTAAGTAAATATATTTAAATATAATTTTATATTATTTTTTATACTCGTGATATCTCAGCCAATATAGACTCACTCCACTCACACTTCAACATTTTACCCTGTTACATATGCTCTCACTTAGCTTTGCTGGCCTTAAAACATTTGATTTTTGCGTATGCAAACGAAAAGTGAACGAATTTCTTTTTGGCTAGCCGCATATTCATAAAGTGCTTTTTAATGGCAGCTAGAGGTCTCAGCCCCAGTCTCGGCTCTTGGGCTCTCGAGTCGGCCCGAGTAACCAGATTCAAGTCGGAATTCTAGCTGCATCGCAATGAGAATGAATGCTGACAGGCGGCCAGCCAGGAGGCGTCTGTCATTTATCCGAAGTCTTTGCATGTCGTTGCATGCGGCTACAATTGATAAGCAGCCAAAGCAGAGCAGAGCAAAGTCTTAGCAAAAAAAAGCTTAAGGAGTGTAGCAGCTGGCTGCTCTATAGCTCATTCCCAGTTGGCATTGGCATTGGCATTGGCTTTGGCTTTGCGTTCTGGGCTTTGGCCAAATCCGTTAATAAGCCATTTTGACAAATTGGATGAATGCCGGCAAATGCTAACGTATCGATTGGATGCTGATGTTGAGTAACGTGTGGCAAAGTGTGACAATTGCCATTTGCCGATTTGCCATATCGAACAGAAGAGTAACGAGCAGCATTTGAGTCAACGATTGCTGTTTAAGGCCCAAACACCATATTGATTTAATGCTACATGTAAATATGCTGCGCTTAAGTCCCTTTAAGAGGGGCGCAGCGATATCAAAGAGCTCGACTTGACAAACGATTTTGATAAGCTGAAGACAAACAGGCAGAAATATATGGAGGAAATATTTCTGACAATAGGCAGGATTATGGGTGCTTAGAGGATGTCGATTGGGAGGTACTCTTTAAGAATACTCCTTTATAGCACTATATAAAGTACTCTTGATACAATCTTTCAAAAGTTTATTGTTGATTGCTGTCTGAAACCAGAACAAAATAGAATAATACGATTTTAAATTTGATTTTTCATTATATTTATTTTAAAATAATATGTGAATAGGCATTTATATACTCTTTACTTATAAAGTACATACATACAAATGTATATCATTGGCGCTTTTTGTAATATTGGATTGATATGTAGACCAAATAGAATGAATTATAGGAATACTTGTTTAAAAATATATATTTTTTGTTTATAAGCGTTTTCATATTAATTTTAAATCTTACAATTTCTCTCACTCTCTAGTTAATTCATCTCACTCTGCCTCACTTTCTCTTTCTCAGTGTATCTATCTCTCTCTTTCTCTCTCTCTCGCTTTATCGTTCTTTTTTTCTGTCCCTCTATCTCACTCTCTCTGTCTCTTTTATCTTTATATATTATTATCATATTTTATTTTGACTCGTTCGGTTCTCTCTATTAGATTGCTTCCCACATCTCTCTCTCTCTCTCTCTCTGTCTTCGTCGTTCCTCTTATCCTCCATTTCTCTCCTTAGGCATTATCACGATCGTAACACTTGATAGTCTTATTGCACTCATCATCATGCACTTGAGTGAATACTAGAAGAAAATAGAAATTCCATTTAAAATAGAGCGCCGATTATAAGAGCTCTAGTCTCTACTTACCATTCTTGGTATTGAAGCAGTTCCATTCACTCAGCTCGCATTGTCCTGCAAACTCGACCACACAGTTGCCATTGGAAGCACAGACGGGCAGGGATTTCTCTGGGCACTGGTAGTTGCATTTGCCCAGCTTCTTCAGCTCCAGCTGATGGTCGAGCAGCTTGGGCACTTCCTCGACATCGGACAGCAGACGAGCGGCATGGTGGGCTGGCTTATTGGTTGTGGTGCTGGTGGTTGTGGTGCTGGTGCTGGTGCTGGTGCTACTGCTGGTGGTGCTGCCTTGTTTGTGCTTTTGCGCCTCGAGCTTTTGGCGCTCTTTGATCGCCTGATTGATGGCTTGGGGTATGTGCGTCTGCGCCTGTTGCATCACATAGGCGACTTTTTGTTGCACCTTGCTGACCTTGTCGCCAATGTCCAGCGGCGCTTGGCCGGGCACTGAGACCACAATTTCCGCCACTGGCGGCATCACCACTTTGTTGTAGCCAGCAGCAGGTTGCCATGTGGCCGTGGCCCGGTGATTTATCACCTGCGGCAGCTTCGTTGGCTCCACGTGCGGCGGCAGCAAATCCAAATGGGGCACAGCCACATCATTGCCCTTATTTGCTGCTGCCCCAGCCTGTGGCACGTGGCCCGTGAGAGTTGCAACCTGACCATGCGGCGTCTGCGCCAGCACTTGATTGATGTGATTCGTTATCAGCGTCTGCACGTGCGCAGGCAGCTCATTGGGCTCCTGCTTATCCAGCTGCGCGGCCTGAGTCAGCGCAAGCAGAGCTGCAGTTGGAGTGGGATTTTATTAAACCATCTCTATAAGCTCTTGATAAGTACTCACCAAATATCAACAGAGCGCGCATTTTGTCTCTTATAATCCACAAATCAGACTCGTTCTTAGTATACAATCCACTTGCGTTCCACACTCTGTACAACTCAACTGCACAACGTTCGATGTCGTTCTGTTTGACTTTCGTTGGCAGGAGCCAGTTTTTATATGATCCTCAAAAAATTCAAATATCAAATATCAGTTATTTTTGCATCGACAAAGATTTGTCATAAGAATTAAAATTTTTTTTGTTTGTTAATGCACTTTTTATGATAATACGAGTACGTATTGTAAATGCCTGTACTTGGTAGCAGTCGCAAGGAACGGGTTTCGTTCTACCTGAACGATCAGCTGCTGGCTGGGCAAATATTCTCAATAATGTGTCTGCTTATGAATTAATCGCTTCCTCATATAGGTAATATTATTAATGATATTTTAACATGTTTCATATTTATATCATATATATGGGGCGTGGCAGTTGGTTATGGAAGAAAAAGGAATATAGATAGAAAAAGAAACGGTTCAATTGTTAGATAGAACTAGTTTTGTAGTATCAATATATTACAAATACGAAAAGACTTTTTCGACTACTCAATAGTTCTGTATGGTTAGAAAGTTAGTTCTTTATCTAAGTAGAAAGAAGAAGTTTTTACTTTATTTTACTCCTATGCTCAGAGATCGATTTCTATATAGTTCTATATGTATCTCTGTACGCATTTATATATCTTATTAAGTTTCCTCCAGTTCTACTTAGATGGAGATTTTTTTCCGATAAAACTTTTACAATATATATACAGAATAAACTATATATAACATATTGAACGAACTTTCTATTTAAATAACTTTCTTCCTTCTATACAAAACGAATTCTATGTAGATCTTCAAAATACTTTCCCACTAAATAAGTTCTACCTAGATATAGATATCATCTACAGCATATGAGTTATGCAATCACAAGCTCAGTTCATTCACCACACTTTGCACGAGCTGAACACACAATAAATATCAAAAAATAATTGGGTATACATTTAGGAGCTTAATTATAATTTTCGGATAAACTCTATTTCCGCTGTCAGCCTAAAGATAGGCAGCAGAGCAATTTATTGAGCTGACGAACACAATAACTGCAATTGAAAGTTCTCTCTAACTGTATATAAATTTCAATTCAATTTCATTTTGATTAACTGTGCTGCAAATAAACCAAATGCTATTATTTGACGTCAACAAAAGAAGCAAATGCAAATTTCCCACGGGGACTTGCCAACGCTGCAAAATGTGTTTTATTTTGAAACAAAAGGTTTTATTTTTGGCAGGCGGGGCGAAAAAAGCAAAAGCAAACAAACAAACAAACAAAAGCTGGCAGGCCCAGAGATAATCATGATGATTTTTCAGTTTTGCATATTTTTGTCAGGTGTTAAAATAAAGGATTATGAGCGAACGACAGCAGCCGCAGACCGAAAATTTACATTGACAACATTTTGGTTATAAAAACATTCGAGTCGAGGCACAGAGACAACAGTTGAACAGTTGCTGCCCACACAGCAAGGTCCACAAACATCAACTTTGCCAACAACAACAACCAAGTCCAAAYAGTCTTTAGAACTATGAACAATTCGCTGCTCTGCTTGTGTAAGTTTTACATGCACTGTGTGTGTGTGTGTTGCTCTCAAACTGTAACTGCATCTTTTCGTCTCTTGCAGTTTGCCTGGCCTTCGCCGCTGCGAGCGCTAGTGTGCTGCCCGTCAAGCGCAGCCATCTGCCGGCCGTTAATCAGCATGGAGAGACGGTCTGGCTGGACGAACTGAACCTGGGCGTGCCCGACAAGTGTGACTTCGCCTGCACCGATCAGGACGTCGAGGTCTGCGCCCACAATGGTCAATGCCTGCAGCTGTTCACCAGTCGCTGCACCATGGCCGCCTACAACTGTCGCAATCCTCAGAAGCGCTTCAACGTCGTCGAGAACTATCGCTGCACCCGGGGCTATCAGCCGCTCTGCAGCAAGGCGGAGCGCAAGGAACTGCAGCTGACGCAATGAACCGTGAGGCTGGGCTATGAGGAAGTTGGTCGATGATGTGCAAAGAATTAGAATTTCGAATTGATTCTTTTATATTTTCTATTAAAAATTAAAAATCAATTTTTACAATAAATTACCTTAAATTTAATAGATATGCTTTTAATATTATTATTTAAATTATTTTAATATACATAGTCGCCAATTTAAAAATGGGGATTTATATGTACTTAATAGAATTTCGGGTTTTATTATAATTCTGATGCTCCAGCACATTTACTAGAAGAGTCAGTCCACAGTTTCTGAGGCGTTCATGGAGCTGTTTT